TTTCATTGGATAAAATAAACTCTCTAGCCAAAAGTTAAGACATTTATTTCCTGAATCTATTTAATCAATCATTTGTAACTTAGCTCATCTATCTTATTAAATATTGCCTGTGATCAATTGTTGATTTCTTACTGCTCACTGCACTCCTGTACAATTCAAAACTAATCTCCACACTATTTATTTCATATATATAGCAGGGACTTCAATTTTTTAAGCCTACATTGATGCAACTACTTAAAGGTCTCCAATCTTCCAAGGATCAGCAAACTCTGAATGAGCCTATCTTTAAATAAAAATCTAAAGTAATTCCAGATTGTTCAAATGCTGTTCTGTTCCTTCAGGGGAAACAAGTAGCATTTCTAATGTGGAAATATGTCCTGTTGACATGATTAATTAAGCATTTCTTGCCATAGACTCTGTAAATAAAGGAAGATAAATAAGGTGACTTTTATGTCTTAAAAATAAATAACCAGCTGGGGGTATTAGTTGTTGGAGACTGAAACATGAAAACATTAGGCTTAGAGATCTTTTTACTTATTTCACGTATGTGGGCAACAGCAACAAGGCCAGCAGTTGTTGATCATCCTTGACTGTCCTTGAGAAGGTGCCAGTGAGCTGCCTTCTTGAACTGCTGCCACATCTGATGTCAGTTCACCCATGGTGTTGTTAGGGAGTTCCATGAGTTTTAGCCTGTGACAGTGAAAGAATGGCAAAATAGTTCCAACAACAAATGGAATGTGACTTAGATGAGATCTTGCAGCTGGTGGCATCCCATGCATTTTCTGCCCTTGCCAATTAGAAGGTAGAAGTTGCAGATTTGGAAGGTTCTGTCAAAGGAGCCCTGGGTGAGTTGTTCCTATGCAGCCTGTGTGTAGGATGCACAATGCATCAGTGCTAGATGGAACGAATCTTTAAGTTGATGGATTGTGTGCTGATCAAGTTGGCTGCTTTATACCAGATGGTCACAAGTTTCCTGAGTGTTGTTGGAGCTGAGCTGATCCAGCAAATGGAGAGTGTAACATCATAATCCTGAGTTGTGGCTTGCAGTTGATGAACAGGCTTTGGGGAGTCAGGAGCTGAGTTATTTGTTGCAGAATTTCTAGCTTCTGATCTGTTTTTGAACCACAGTATTGATATGGCTAGTCTAGTTCAGTTTCTGGTCAATAGTTACCTCAGGATGTTGGCAATGTAATATTCAACAATGGTAATACCATTGAATATCAAGAGGCGATGGTTAGATTGTTTCTTGTTGGAGGTGGTCATTGCCTGGCATTTGTATTGTGTAAATATTACTTACCACTCATCAGTCCAAGCCTGGATGTTATCCATGCCTTGTTGCACATTGACTCTTCGTTTTCTGCGGAGCTATGAATAATACTAAACATCATGCATTCAGTTAATGTAACACTTCTATTTAAAAAGGGAAGGAAAGAAAGGTAACTTCGTGCCAGTTACTTTAATGTCTGTTATTGGGAAAATGTTAGAGTCTATTACAAAGGATATAGTTTGGAGAGCATTTAGAAATACTTTACATGATCTGAAAATGCCTTCATAAAGGGAAGTCATGCCTGTCAAATTTACCAGAATTCTTTGAGGCAGTAATAAACAAGACCAACAAAGGGGAAGCAGTGGGTGTAATACAGTTGGAGTTTCAGAAGATGTTTTAAAAGGTACATTAGGCTACTTAATAAAATAGGATCCCATAGTTTTGGAGGTAGTATATCGACATGGAGAGAGAATTAGTGAACGAAGAAAAGACAGAAAGTTACAATAAGGTGGTGGTGGGGGTGGGGGTGGGGGGGGGTGCGGTGGAGGGGGTTGGGGGCGGGGGGTGGTGGGGGGGATGGAATTCATTTCAGGATGGCAACCTGAAAATATTGGTGTGCTTCAGGGATAAGTGCTGGGGCCACAATTGTTTACAATATATATTAATAACTTAGATAAGAAAAATGAATGCACGATAGCCAAGTTTGGGGATGGCGCAAAAAAATAGGTGGGAAGGCAAGTGGTGAGGATGACACAAACAGCCTGCAGAGGGCTAGAGATAGGTTAAGTAAGTGAGCAAAATTTGGCAGTAGGAACATAGTTTGGGAAAATCTGACATTACGCAATTAGAGAGGAAGAATAGAGGAGCTGAACCGAGAAAGATTGCAGAAAGCTATGGAACAGAGGGATTTGGGAGTCGTTGTGCATGAATCACTGAGAACTAGCATCCAAGTTCAGTGGTTATTGGGGATGGTAAATGGAATGTTTACTTTCATTTAAAGGAAATGGAACATAAAAGTAGAGAGATAACCGGGTGTAGAGCTGGATGAACACAGCAGGCCAAGCAGCATCAGAGGAGCAGGAAAGCTGATGTTTCGGGTCAGTCAGACCACAGCTGGAATACTGTGAACAGATTTGAACCTCTTATCTAAGGAAAGGTATACTGGCATTGGAAGCAGTCCAGAGGAGATTATCTAGGCTGAAACGGGACTGTGTTATGAAGAGAGGTTGTGTAGATTTTGCCTGCACTCAGAAAAAACACAAATAAACAGACTGAAGAGATTTTGAAAGCCTCAAAAGACACTTTTGAAGTCCAACTAAATGTAACATTTAAATAGTACATGTCCAATATCATGGACTGAGGGAAGAAAATTTAATTGATCAATATGTGACTTTATTAACAGCTCTCGCAGTCCTATGCATTTTCACAACTAAAAGATGATCTAATGAAAGGCAAGATTGTATTATGTATAAGAGAACTGGCAGTGAGAGTGCATTTACCAACCAAAGAGAAACTTACTCTCAGGAATGGGATTAACATGTGCGAAAGTGCTGAGGGTGTAAAGCAGCAAATAGAAGATATTTTATGGCAGACCAGACTAGGGCCTTGCAACGTGTAGATAGACACTCCAGCTAAAAGTTCAGAACAATTATAGATGAATTACAGAATTTAATTACAGTGGAGGACATCACACTAAAGAAAAGTCCAGCATGAGGAAAGTATTATTCTCATTGCAAGAAATGGAATCAATTTACACACAAGTGTTTAGCCAGAAGAAAACACAACAAGCAGGTACAGATGTCCACTGCGGAGAGATCAGCTGAAAATTCTGACAAAACACTCTACACCATTCAACAAGTTGGTCCAATTATGCCAATAGCTTCAACATGGTTTATGCCTGTTGGAATGACAACTGCAGAAGGAGAACATCAAATCAACACCAAGTGTCAGACCCTTGTGCATCATGCAAAATCATATCCTTTATAGGCCTGTGCAAAATGACTGAACATTGAATCCAAAAACAAAGCCATTGAAAGTAACGTTGGGCTTATACAATGGCACCATACTCTGCCTAGGGAACAGATTGTTCTGTGGACCCAAGAACAAAAATCCAGATCATACATGTAAGCAAAAGCTATTCATTTCAGTTGGAGCTAGTCTGAAACTTGGACTGGTAACCCTCAAAATGCCAAAAGAGATTTGCAACATGTCGCAGCACATTAAACTATTCACCACGGAACACATCCCAGAGGAGTACAGCACCCCAATAATATGTCAACAATAGATACTGGAGCAACAATAAATGGTATAGAAATGATACAGTGTGGACCTGGAGGAACACAGCAGGTCAAGCAGCATCACAGGAGCAGGTAAGCTGGCGTTTCGGATCGGGACCCATCTACAGAAATGGTCCAAAACGTCAGCTTTCCTGCTTCTCTGATGCTGCCTGGCCTGCTGTGTTCCTCCAGCTCCACACTGTGTTATCTCTGACTCCAGCATTGGCAGTTCTTACAATCTCTGTATAGAAATGATATATCCTTTGGGAAGAAACATCATTCAGATGAACTGCCAACAACAACATTCATGCATACTATTAAGGGACCAACATGATTTAAAGACTACATGTACAAACACTCATCAGAGTAACAAACTGCTAATGCTTGAGAATAGTTGTGTTTGTAGTGAGTAACTTCAGTAACTGTTAATGCATAATAAATGTTAATGCATGCATTTTGTTTTGTATTGAAAGGAGGATGTTTAGGATAGAAAGACAAAACTGTAGTATTGTGCCTCCTGGTTTGCAATAATTATCTGACACCTACCAGGAGGCACTGACAAGGGACAGTCATCTTGAAACCAATCAGTTCAGTAAATAACACAGCACAGACAATATGGGACTGGATTGAACTCATAACTGTGACTATCCTCTGCTGCATTCGCCATGGCAATGATTTGACCAATCAAAGTTCACTTTTAATCAATTAGCGCCATGTTTCTCATGCAACATAAACTGCTGTTCCCTTTGAAAATTGGTATTCTTGTATCTATCCTGATGAGTGCAAGACACAAAGCTTTAACAGGAGATAACAAGGTGCAGAGCTGGATGAACACAGCAGGTCAAGCAGCATCAGAGGAGCAGGA